CGCGCGCAGCTTGGCGTCTGCCATACGACGTATAAAGTTACGTAATTTCAAGCTCAGCAAAATTTACTAGTTTCAGCACAACTGAGTCAATACTGCAAATGGTATTCTCCTCTTTTGCCTAATGAACTCGTTGAAAGCAAGCTTCTGCAACTTTGTAGTCCGTGAAAGTTATATTTCAATGCAAAAGACTTGCCATAGTTGGGCTTTTGTGTGCAGAAGCGTTATAGGAACATCACTAACATGGAATATCCACGTCGAATTCCTAAGCCGTCTTAAATGATTTTATTAATTAACCTAGTCATAAAGATTCTCTAAGAAATGATGCTTTTCTTTGTTGTAGAAAGAGTCCGGAATTTTCAAGAACATGGCGACTGTTGACCAGCTGTTCTGCCAGAATTATGCGGTCAGTGAGTGGCCAGTTGCCTCCAGTGTCACATTTCGAAATGAAGCGGAATTCCGTTTTGTCAGAAAAATTTATCGAAGTATGCATTTGGTTAAGCAACGGCTGAACTGAAAAAAAATTTTTTTCTTCTTTTTTCGAGGGATGGGCGATTGAAGGGCGTGAGGGAAATTAAAGGAAAGAGGGGTTGCAGGGAGTGAGAAAAATTGAAGGAAAGGAAGGTTTGCTTTTTTGTGAATAAAGAAGAAAAGGACAAGGACTCTCTAGGATTCCGTATTAATAGCCCAAGGAATCCCTGTTTATCTGACCGCTGAAGTTTGAGAAAGCTGGAAAACATTCTGTGCTCCATAACCTTTTTTTTGGCTACAGTCCCTCTTCTCCTGTTTCTTTTCTTTACGCCTTCCTCCTTGCCCCTCCTGGCACAAGCAAGACTCCTTCTCTGCAATCTAAGTGGTTTTGGTCGTCTTGGTTTCAAAGAAGACTCGTTCTTTACAGTCCATACGTTTTGATGATTCTGGCTGTACTGAAACTCTTTTTATAGTCCAGACGAACTCGGTAATGAAAAAAATAATTAGTCATCTTTTCGTTACAGTTTTTGACCGAGCAGTAAGTATCGATCGAAGTACACCACTGTTGATCGGTCTAACGCTTAAAAATGATACATTTAAATGGGCCGACGGATCGTCATTCAAATACGCCGGTTTCTTGAGTGCAAAAGTCGCTGATACATTGATGGAATACAGCGGAGATGACTGCCGGCGCTTCTTCCTCTATCGAGTACCAACAAGTAGGTGCTCGGATCTAAAATTTTTTTTCTCTGAAGACACTATGCAAAAATTTATTAAGCTCAAATGGCTACTAATAGAAGTTTAAGAGCGAACGCTGGCTGTGGAGCGAAAGATGCTTGATGTGTTTCTTCACGACCATATAAACAGCCAGACTTTTCATTAGCTTTGCAGAATATCATTGCGACCATGTAAGAAAATAAGACCCGCTGGGTATAGCATATTTTTGCCCTCAAAAATAAGTAATAATGGGTGTTCCACACCAGTAAGTGGTACTTCTAAGGAAGCAAATGACTTCTTTCTCCTTTCTGTTTTTCTCATTTTGACTTAGTAGTGACGGTATTCGAAATGAGGAAATGTTGTCGAACGTACGACGAAGACTGTGGTGCTCTTGAATCGGCTAAATTTCCAAACATGAGTTTCCGTCTGGGAGCGTTTTAGAGGGCGAAACATACATCAGATTCGCCATTCAGCTAACCACGGGCGAAGCGGCATTGGTCAAAGAAACTGAAAAAGTTGCCAACTGTATAGTCGAACAATGAGACTGTAAGTACGGCTAATCAAAGCATAAAAATATGTGCAGGCTCGATGAGCCTTTAGCCTGATATACCCGAAAAACGAGTTCAAACCCTTGCTTACATTAAAAAATCACTTTAGGTGTAATCGGTGCAGAAGTAAATTTAAGCGTTGTTTGATAAGGCATTGAAGTCATAGTGCTGGATTCAGCTAGTACTTTCAGTTCATGATGCCTTCGTTACCGTATTCCATGCGCCATGCACTGTTCAATTTCGGCACTACTATATAATGTGTCGGCAACAGTTAACATACCCAACGGTCAGTTGCGTTTTCGAGTTTTTTTCCTGAAACAACTCCAAGCCATATGAAACAAACTAAACCCCACAGAACAAAAATGAATTGAAGGAACTGTAACTGGAGCAATCACAAATCTCCTAGATTTACCTCCCAGTGGCGAAGAAATCAAACCCCTGGGTGAAGAAGTACCGAGGAAACCC